TATTTTACAAAGGTCATTGTGCGATGCAAATAATTTTGTGCAAAATATCAAATCCAATGTGTGACAGACAGACACTGGGTAAAGTGATCCCTAAGTGTCACTCTGCTTTGCAGGCGAGACAAAAATAGCAAGGATAATTTGTTTGTTTGTTGAAAAGTGATTGAATGATCCTTAAAAGTAGAAATTTTTGTTCATTAATGTACTGTAATTTTTACCTGTATTTTAAAGGACTTGTTGGACATATCTTATGCACCATGGTTTTTGTGTTCCTTCTCATTGATGTCTTCAAATTTTTAATCCACCAACACTTAACATATGTTTTACATACACAGCATGCATTTATATCTGAAAATGAAAATAAAGACAAACTAGAGGTGCTGTGAGCACTGAGCTCACAAAATGATACCCCTGCCTCCCATGTTTTTGTAATGGGAAAGTCTATATTTTGCTATGGGAAACCTAAAATATGTGTCCGATCAAAAAGTAAAATACGGGGTGCAAAATGGCACTATGTAAGAAAGATTTTGTAAAAGTCTCATCAAATTTCATTCAGTGGTGTAAGAGGAGATGCTGATAAGAAATGGGTACCCCAAAGTATATATTAATGGATGGTTGTACAGAAAGATGAACAGCTAGAAGGACGGACAGACGGATGGACACCCCCTTCACTAAGCAACCCCCACTTTTCAACCGGGGAGTATAATAATTATAATTAATTTCATTAAAACAAATTAGTACAGAATACACAAGAATAATTAACTGATTCCGTTAATTTATAGTTTCCATTTTAACCTCTTAACTGATCGAGGAAAAAAAAATCAAATCAATTTCACTTTGCAACAGAAGTAGATGTCCATTTAAATTATAAGTGCTGTACATGTAAATCTTAATGCATATTTCATAATTACCCACACAACAGAAGTGCAGAGGTTGTTTCAAAATGATGTCATATGATGTTATCCAATGGGTATTCACAGTACAAGCAGATACTGCGTAACTAGAGTTGACTGGAATAAAAAAAATATAAAAATCATAGTGAAAATTTGAAAGTAAAGACCTGCCTTGACCCACCCACCTCCGGGGGAGGGGGGTTAAATGAATTAAGAAATGAATGTAATATTTTTTTCTTTGACCGAAGTATCAAACAAAAAATTGGACAGAAAACGTCATCAATGCGCGTAGGATGAAAAAGTTCTCCATCCAAAGTTTTGTTTTATACTTCAATCAAAGAAAAAATATTAGGCTACATTCATTTCTTCGATGAAAAATTCATGGAAAAGTAAAGATCAATTTATAAGGGTTAATCTAAAATGCGAAATCACCCATGGAAAAATAACTGCCTATATAGGCAGTCATTAAGCAGTACTTCAGCAGTTTTATGAATTTCAAGCAGTTTCAGGCAGTTTGATTTTTACTGTTGTTTCATAACTGCTAATGCCCGGGGAGTTAACAGTTTTCATAAGCAGTTTTCTAAGCAGTAAGCAGTTTCCTTAGCAGCATCTTTAAGCTTTACCCCTACTGGAGGAAAGAACAGTTTTGATAGCAGTATTTAAGCAGTTTCCTTAGCAGTAAATATTAAATTTGATTGGGATCAAGATAAATTCCAATGTTGGGTGTTTAATAAGCAGTACCTAAACAGTTATATCAAAGGGAGCAACCAGTCCTGAAAAAATCTTACCAAAATAACTGCTTATGAACTGCCTATGAACTGCTAACGAACTGCGCAAAACTGCCTAACAACTGTTAAGGCTTAGGAAACTGCCTATTTTATTCAAAGGTTTATTGTGGGCCCAACATGCCATAAGCATTGCAGAGAAGGTTTAGAAACTGCTTATAAACTGCTAAGATGGTTCAACTGTTAAGGTTAAGAAACTGCTAAATAACTGCCTTCCACTTTGCCATGGGCGTGTATGCGTACAATCACTTTCTCATAAAAAAATGTTTATGATCATGATGATTCCTTTTTTATCAAAAGTGCACTCCTATCAAGTCCAGTCCAAAGACTATTTCTACCTACAGCTACGTAGGTATTTAAACCTACCCAAAGTAACTATTTTAGCTACTTTTTGCTTTACTTACATTTTGTGGCCAAGCGCAGGAGAGACGCAATATGGTGAGCACCAAATTTAATAATACAGTCATACTGATGATGAATACGACAAAATTAAGGCCAAATAATGATTACTTCGTAAATTAACAATTTTGCATAGTAATTTATGCATAGTAATTTATGCACAATCCAGAAGCCTCGACTTTAGGAAAAGAATGTCTTCAGTTTTCATTTTTTTTTAATTTGAATATACCACATTTTATGTATTTTAGCGTGAAAGGATGGCTGGTACGGACCAAATTGTAAACTCAGATGTAGCAGCCATTGCTACAATAACGCCATATGTGACAGGGAAACCGGATTATGTCCTCTTGGTTGTAATGAAGGATATACCCCACCATTCTGTCAACGAGGTAAAATAAGTCACTCTGTACATAACTGAAATTCCTCATTGAAATTTTTAAAATGTATAAATTTCATAATATATAAAAGGTTTAACTAAGCTTTCAGAATGTGTATTTTTGCAAAAGCATCTCCAAACCCTAGCTTGAAGGACTTGATTGGACCGATCATAGGGGTCGCTATTGGATCGTCTTTAGCTACACATTTCTTCCTCGTTCTACTACAACTCATCAGAAGGTACATGTCAAATATGATTGATCTAAAAAAAATAAGCCTTCCTTGAGAAATAAATGTGTTGATGGATAGGTAAGTCTTTGACTGAGATTTTAGTGACTTTCTTTTATTATTTATGAGTATCTCAAAAATTCCCCATTTTCTATAATTAGACATAAAGAAAACATTGTGCCCAATCATCATATCATTTATATATATATACGTTTTCGTGTATTAGCACAATCGTATTTTTTTAAAACTAACATCTCATAGGAAATGTAACTCGAAGAAGGCAAATAAAATAGATAAAAGAAATCTAAGAAAAGATTACCAACTACCAATGACTCCTTCAGTGACGAGGCAAACACAGAGATATCAGTACGAACAAGCTGTAGACATACAGGAGGATGGTCGCCAGTATGAACTCTTGGAGGATGCAATCTGAAGCATTAAAGAGACTAAACTGTACACCATAATGATATCTTTCCAAGAATTCAAAATTGATATCCATTTCTCTCAAAAATTTGATTTTGAAATAGATGTAGTTACATGTATTAACAAACACCATTCTTTGGATTGTTTTTCTGAGTGACATCCATGAGATGAAAAGGTGCAATTTAGTCAACTGAATGATTGCTGTAATGAATTCTTAGATTTTTTTTTATAATGAATTAAATTCATTTAAATGAATTATACAATTCGTTATACCAAATTCATATATATATATATATATATATATATATATATATATATATATATATATATATATATATATATATATATATATATATATATCTTTAGGCCCTAATTGTCCAATTAGATAAAACAAATTTAGTTCGTTTCATTAAATTTAAGAATCTGTTTTAAGTATATTAATTAGGTAAAACAAAATTTTGAATTAGTTTCAATGAATTTAATCTGTTAAAACAAATTTTTGAATTTATTATACTAAATTCAGCAAATCTGTTGGAACAGAACTAATTCGTAATTACGAATTTAAAAAAAAAGTATAACGTAATATAAAAACGAATTATACTCTTTACAACAAATTTGACGATTAGTTTTATCAAATTAAAAAAAAATATTTTATAGACTCTAAATGGGTTTCCGTAGAGGTTTATGTTGTTAATTATTACCAAATATAGTGGTAAAAGATAATAGAAGTCAATATTTGCGTCTTATATTGATTTTGAATGTACTGGCTAGATAAAAGTGTTCATAACTAATCATTGGAAAGACATTCTTTTATTAATATAATTTTTGGATTATTTTCTAGTGAAGTCATCCCTCTTATCAGAGGGACGTTTCCCTTAAAGATTGCAAGTCCCAACCATTTGCGAGAACATTCAAGTTTTGTAAAAAAAAAGTTTCGTATCATACTAATAACAATATACTGCCCGAATTCATTCAAGACAACAAAATAACTCATTACTTGAATAAGCTAGTACATATATTTATATGGAAAGACCTACACATAGCATGCATTTCACAAGAACAAACATCAAACCTTATATATATTAAAACCTAGGCAGTCTTGCTAGTGTTAATAGTTTTCTTCGAAGTCTAATTTATTGCTGAAATTAATAAAATTAGATTTACGTTTACTTATCATTAATTGACCATAGAAAACGTATGAGAAAAAAAACAAGCAACATTACTCTACAAATAATTTGGCAACCCCTCAAAACAATCTGACTGGCCATAAATGAATAAATAAATAAATGAAAAACTAAACTTTCGAAATCATGTAATTTGCCAGTACTCGATTTTACATCAACGAAAAGTGGGATAGGGGAGAAGCCACCAGCATATACATCTAAGTTTAAATTTACTATTACAAAATACTATGCTCAGAAAAAAGTGCGGAACCCTCTGCCCCCCTCCGCGTTCTACGGGCCTGGGGTAAGAATCTTACTGTATAAAGCACATACAAAGAATGTACTGATGTCACATAATTACCTTGAGTAGAGAATAGTGATCCAAACTCCCCAGAATAAATAATAGAAACTCTTTTTCTACATTTTAACTTTACATTTTAATTACAAAAAAATATTATACAACAAAATAATCTGGTTTGGTGTGTGATCGTCCGTGTCCCTCGAGTGTCGATTACGTCTAGGTTTTTGTTCCAAATGGTGTTTGGGCTATACTAATATCTCTTGCCGCTGTTGAGGATCAGACAACCCTCTCCACGCTAGTGCAAGAAGATTTATACCCCCCTCTCCAGTTCCGAGGGGATTACACGTAAGTCTAGCGTTTAACATTAGGAGATGCGACCGGTACTAGACGCCATAACATCTCTACACTACTATACAGGATGAAAATCTGTTAAATATCATACACAGAATAATATAGACATACAACTTGAAAACATTACTATGCAATATGCACAATGCAATAAATGCTTTACTACACAACAGGTCGCCCGCGTGGCGCAGTGGTTAGAGCGTTCGCTCTAGAGTCGCGGAGTAAGGAGTCGATCCTTACGTCGCGGATTTGAATCCCACTGTGGGACGTGGAGACCGGTCCTTCGGATGAGACAGTATAAACCGAGGTCCCGTGTCGCAGTAGGTGCTGCCACGAAAAATATCCCTCACTGCTCAATGGCCGTAAGTGCCGAGTATAGGACAAAATTTGTAGCTCTCCACCGGCAATTGGTGGCATCTCCATGAGTGAAAAATTCTCGAGAGGGACGTCAAACAATAAACAAACAAACAAACAAAACTACACAACAGTTATTACAGAATGTAGAACCGACAAATAAAGACACAAACAATTCACCGTACAATTAAGTCTCAAGCATTTTTGAGGAACTATAAATAATAGAACTCATAAATATCAATTAGCGAATAGCTTAAGGTGGAATATTTTAGAAAATCCGTATTTGGGTGTTTTAAGATATTTACAACTTTACAAAAATATTAAAAACAAACGCAAATAAGGCTTACCTCAGAGAAGCAGGTATTTACAACTTTATAAAATAGATTAAAAAAACCAAATAAGGCTTACCTCAGAGAAGCAGCACCATACAACATTGTTAAAGATCCAGTGATTTGTTTTGAACGGAGTAACAAGAACCCGTTGAAAAATGGAGGCTCCCCACAGGTGAATACAAATTGCTTGCGTGTTCAATTAGGAACATGTAGATATTAATGTGACAAGATAAAACCTTAAAGATCTCTTCTGAATTCTCAATTGAATTTTTCAATAAATATTACTAGCATTTTACAAAAAAGAAACAAAAACAAACAAAATAAAAACACAAAAAATGCGAAAGAAAGGAAATCAAGAAATATTTTGAAATACCTTATTTATACAAAGGTTGTTCAAAAGTCAAAAGTAACGCAGACTTGCTGCACTAAAAAAAAAATTTAAAAAAATTGGCGACAAAATCAATCACAAAATCACTCATGATATAAAAGAATATTATTTGGTCATCAAACTTCTATTTCAAAATGTTGCAAATTTATATGAATTTTGGATGATGCCTACTTAATCTTCGAAGTCAATGAAAATTAAAGAAAAAAATGTGAGCTTTCATTCTCTCATTGTTTTCCCTAAGTAATTGATACAGTGCAGTTTGTGGTTTGTGATACCTAATCCTCTCAGCAAAAAACATCCACAAACCATTTCTGGTCCAGTTTAAGATTATGAAACTAGTATAATATTTTCTAGTTTATGTAAATCCCTAAAACTGTAGATATTTCTGAGGTTCATTTTGACTTCGGTCGATCTCTATTACATTCTAAACATTCCAGATCAGATTTTGTATCAAAAAGTTTAGATGAGGATGATTTATTGCTGACTATCTCTTCAATCTTACATTCGAGGATATATAAAACCTCCAAAGAAAAGGTTACAACATACAATTCTTTATTACCAATTATACTGATACAGTTTACAATAATTAGTTAATAGTTAATTCAAATACGTTCATATAGGGGGAATGTGTATAAGAAAACTCCAGTCACCTTCGTAAATAATTGAGTAAAAGAAGAACACGTACAACACTGTAAGAACAATTGTTTTGTAAGACAGAAAGGATGAAGATGGATAAATATCAGGTCACGTAAGTTCAATTCGTGTATACATAATTATATGAGTGATTATCTATGATGTAGTTTTTTTCCTTTTGTAGACCCTGCAAAAAAAGAAGAAGGAATAATTTTAAATATTGATTGTGTTTTTGGTTAACCATAATACAAATTCTGGTAAATGGTATGTTTAATACGGAAGCACAATAGTGCAAACAAAAAATCAATAAAAAAAAAACAAAAAAAAACGAAATCATTAAGTAAAGAAAACGAAATTATTAAATAAAGAAAACAAAATTATTAAATAAAGAACATGAAATTATTAAATAAAGAAAACGAAATTATTAAATAAAAAGCTGAAACTAAAATACTGAATTTATAGATGTGCATGGTAAGGGCCTGAACTCATGAATCATTCCATAAAGCGCACGTGTTCTATGACCTGATTTTGTTTCCACATTAAAACAAGTGTGATATTTGCATTTACACTCAGCTATTCCCATATCGATAACATAACCAGTTGGAGTAGACAATCACAATAAATGAATAGGGGAGAATTTTACCTTTGGTTATCCAATATGCTTAGATCTATGTCTTTATCTTACATTAACATGATTAATGTGAATTTTGACCAGTCTGATGAATTGGCCAAGTTTACGTTAACATTAGCTTTCTTAAACCCTCAGCTCAGAAGGTCTAATTATAAGCAAACAATGAATCTGGACATAAAACATCAAAGAGATTATGCTAATAAATTGCAGAAATATTTAAGATATATATGTCTGTTAAGATTCCGTTGTTTACAACTGCTGAACTTTACAACATTTAGGAAATTCCCATGGCTATACATCATTTTTTAATTATCGCACAGTACAAACATGCTGTAAAATGATAAGTTACCGATCGGATTTTGCGGGTTTGTTTGACATTATAAAAAAATTGTTTAAAGCGAGCAAGTGCAAAAATTAAACAAGTGAAAGTGGTTACAATGAGTAGATTTTAATGATTGCTTACTTTATTAAAAATTAAGCAAACCACTTCTAATTTCTTGGTCATTTTATCAAAGCACAATTAGAAGTGATGCACTAACTATTTGTTCTCACATATTCTAAATGACAAATTCTCAATCTGTATAAGTCAGTGATAGTTCTGAACAATCAATGCACACACTTGCATAACAAATCCCACAAAGTATTCAAATCATTCTCTTTATTGTTTCAACAACCTAAGTTTTTTGGGTACACAGATAGGGTGCTATGTTTAATTCGGGGGGAATTCAACAATACGATATGCAAGGTCTTGACCTTTCAGCGATTCATGAGCTCTTTTGGAATGTCATTAATTTTATGTAAGCAGAAACAGCCATCCTCGCTACGTCCAGGCTTATAGGCTCAAACTTTGACGTTGTGGGGATGCGACACAGCATCAAATTCCCGTACACAAAATTGAACAGTTATGAATCATTTTCTTTAAAAAAAAAATGCGAATTATAGGCTTTGGGCACATAATGTTTTTCTACGTTTGTCAATTAGACATTTATCTAAGTTTTTTTTAAAGTTTTTTTTTTGATTTTTCATTTCCCCCACACTTGTTTTAATGTCGAAACAAAATCAGGTCTATAGAATTACTAAGTGATGCTTTATAACACGTGCGCTTTATGGAATGATTCATGGGTTCAGGCCCTTACCATGCACATCTATAAATTTCGTATTTTAGTTTCAGTTCTTTATTTAATAATTCCGTTTTCTTTATCTAATAATTTCGTTTTCTTTATTTAATAATTTCGTTTTCTTTATTTAAAAATTTCGTTTGTTTTTTATTTAATAATTTCGTTTTTTATTTAATAATTTCGTTTTCTTTATTTAATAGTTTCGTTTTCTTTATTTAAAAATTTCGTTTGTTTTTATTTAATAATTTCGTTAGTTTTTATTTAATAATTTCGTTTTCTTTATTTAATAATTTCGTTTCTTATTTAATAATTTCGTTTTCTTTATTTAATAATTTCGTTTTTTTTTATTCAATAATTCAGTTTTTTATTATTTATTTTTTGGTTTGCACTATTGGGCTTCCGTAGTTTAAGCTGAAAAAAACAAAACAAAGCAAAAAAAAAAAAAAAAAAAAAAAAAAAAAAATCAGTCTCTATCAGTTAAATGATATATTTGAATTGACATAACAGAATAAATCTCAAATGGTATTCCTGTCTATCAAACTTCGTCAAATTTTACTGTCAAACGTATTTTTTCCCGTAGTAGTAATTAATACTCAATATCAATCTTTAGGATAGTAAATTATGTTTCCTAACTATATGAAAAAGATTCCTAAGAAGAGGGAAACGCCTAGTTTTTCGTTTCCCTTATATCTACAATGCACGCATTGATAGTAAAATATATGCATTCTCAAAATCGTTATAGTCGGCCGCGTGGCGCAGTGGTTAGAGCGTTCGCTCTAGAGTCGCGAAGTAAGGAGTTGATCCTTACGTCGCGGGTTCGAATCCCACTGTGGGACGTGGAGACCGGTCCTTCGGATGAGACAGTATAAACCGAGGTCCCGTGTCGCAGTAGGTGCTGGCACGAGAAAAATCCCTCACCGCTCAATGGCCGTAAGTGCCGAGTATAGGACAAAATTTGCAGCTCTCCACCGGCAAGTGGTGGCGTCTCCATATGAGTGAAAAATTCTCGAGAGGGACGTTAAACAACATACAAAAAATCGTTATATTGATAATTAAAACAAATATAAATGTACACAACAGTTTTTCTTCCTTTTTATACAGGAATAAATGCATGCTTGCAATCATTGAAACGTTATTACTTTTCGGGGATTGTATTTTTTCTTTTCCTTTTGATATTTTTGCTTTGGCAACGGTGAAACATTTGTATATTTTCTTCTTCTTTTAATATGTACTGTTCTTTTTTGTATATATATTGGCTAAATCATTGAAATAGAAATAGGAATTTTTCTCCCAAAACTTTTCACTAGATTTTGACAATATATGTAGTAGAAACCGTACTGATGAAATTATATGTACTTATACTTAGTGTTTATCTGCTGTGAGAGAAGTGAAAAGTTAATTTACTTCACTCACTTTAAATCAAAAGTTAAAAATCAATGAGAATTTCTAGAAATTGACCATCTTAAAAGATATACGAATTTAAAAATACATTACTTTTTCTTACATTGTATTCCATCACTCTTTCTCCCCGTTCCCCTCGTCAAAATTAGTTCATTCTGTACAAGTCTGCTCCGGCTGTGAAAGAGAAATCATTGTATTCTACCGGTGATTCAACATTAATCCAAAATAATTTTGCTTCAAATACAAGTACAATTTTAGTTCTATGCTCTGTGATAATTATCATATGTCTAAGGGTGATAATCAAGTACAGATTTGCCAATCGTTTAACAGCAAGTAATTTTTACCAATCAACCACTTATTCGTGTCAAAATACCATCTTTTCATATCGATTTAGTTTTTTTTATTTTCCAAAGAAATCTCTATTAAAATAAATAAAATTACGAAATAAAATGCAATACTCTGTATATAAATAGTCAGAGCAAAACATAAACTTTATTTTAATAAGAAAAAATAAAAAAAAAATAAAGAAAAACATTAAGCATGTTTTTTTTTTAGATGAATATCATAAAGATTCTTTTTCTGTTTAACATTTTGTTTTTATTCAGACTACAACCTAACTTGGAGTATCATGATTTGAACAGACTTAGTTCTACACTGTATGAAGATGCTTGTAACTATGTGACTCATTGTGGCCCCTTTAGTTCCTGAAAAAAAAATAATCTCAAATTTTTAATATAGACTTATATAAACATATGACTTACCGTTGTTGGCACATTCTAGTACAATGTACAATTATTGTATCAAACTTGATTGTACACTCTTTTAGGATGCTTCTATATCAATTGACTAAGAGTGACACTGTTTTAAGAAGATTTTCAATATTTTCTAAATGAGACACTTATCTCTTCGGAGGTGCCCTTCTATCCTTCATCAGGCACGTATTAAAAAAAATACATTATTTTGTAAAAAAAAAAAAAAAAAAAAAAAAAAAAAAAAAAAAAAAAATTCACATATATAGTTTTTGTCTTTGTCTAATCCTGGACAGCACGAATTAAAAAGAAACTCTGATCCTCAATAAATGAGGATGCTTGCATAAAATCGGTTTATTGATAAAAAAAATATGGCTTGAAAAATTATTCCTTTTATTACGTCAATGATTGTAGTTAACAACGAAATTGTAACAGTTATGTTCCCCTATGCCCTCTTGATTTCTTTTGTTAAATGAAATAGTTTCTCCTTTGTATCTTTGAGTTTTATATTAGGGATGTCAACGAATATTCGAACATTCGAATATTCATTCGATGAGTTGATATTCGAATATGAATTTAAGATTCGAATATTCGGTATTTTTCAGATTTCATTAAAAGAAGTAATGCGATTAATAATTTTGATTAGATATCCCCTTTTAATTTACAAGCGATCAATTTTGATCGCCTGATTTCTTTCACTTCTTCCTTATTGTATAGATCAACTAAATTATTTTGATTGAGTAATGTGTTAATGAATTATACATTAATGCTTTATGTATAATACAAAACATACTTTCTTACTTTCTTATTTGTTAAATATTATTGGATATTAAATCGAGGACAACAAAAGGCAAACCTTCTAAGAATTTCTAAAAGACGTGAAGAGAATACTTATCCTAACAAATTTAATTGATCATTGAATGGATGTCCGATGGAAGTTGCCTGTAATTAAATTTTGTAAAGGGCTCAATTTCAGAATAAATGTGTAAATTACTTGATTATCACGGGTTGTACATAATCCTGAATTTTATTTTCATTATTGGGGAAATAGTTAATTACCTAGGAGAATTATCTACGGAAATGTTTGTTTATATTTTAAAAACATTGTATCAAAGATTATGATCATATTTCTCATTAGGACGATAATTGTGATTAATTGCACGTATTGAAATCTGAACAGTATACGACTATCCTGCCTTTGGTAAGACGACTGGTTCCTCAGTTGGAGCTACTGTAAAAACACATGATTGTATAATTTGTTAAAATTGTACTTTTCTATATTTAAATCAAATATTTATTTCAAACATTGATAAATATCAAAAGGAATTCCTTATTCTACACCTACAAAAGTCTTCATACAATTTTACTTCCAATATAAGAATACCTACGCTAAACCTTTCAGGAAAGTAGGATGATACATATTTAAACTAAACCAAATTTTATTTATTTTATCGAATATTCGAATATATTCGAATACTTTCATTGAATATTGGAATATGAATTATCGACAAAATTGACATCCCTATTTTATATTTATAGATTGTCGTTTTGTCATCTCTCTCTCTCTCTCTCTCTTTCTCTCTAAAAACACATTTAGAGGGCTGGGTGGTCGTGGCCATTTTTAGACTATATTGATCTCCTTTAGAAGAAGAGCTCCATATAAAGATATACAAAAATGATCAAATTTTAAAACTAAAATGTTTGAATTTTTTCTTTGCCAAATGACAGTTCACAGCTTAAGATTTCATATCTAAATAAAATAAGTTATATCTGATAGTTAATTTGTTGACCCCCCAGCCTCCTTAAGTTTGAAACCGGAAAGCATAATCCGCCATTGATAAGCTGGTGGTCTGGCCAATGACGCTATTTCTAAATATAGATATGTAAAAAATAAATACTCAAAGAATGTTATCAAACAAAACAGACCATCTTAAAGAAAAACTACACAGGAAATACAAGGAATATAAAAGACAGGATCGCTTTGGTAACGGTGGGTCTTCAAAATATATGCAGTTACATGCATCTAGGTAATGCCGTAAATAATGGTCAGCGCGTGTGTATCAAAATGCACTGAACATGGCATCGAATAGATCAGCTAAGGCGTGGGTCAAAGAATTTATAGAGAAACGAAATAAATCTGTTTATGTGCTTTATAAATAAAAAAATATTTCATTACAACGTGTATTGGTAACGATCCTATATATATATATATATATATATATATATATATATATATATATATATATATATATATATATATATATATATATATATATATATATATATATATATATATATATATAGTGTGTATTTAGTGTGAATTTATGAAAATGTAGTTAATGTGTACCTTGACATAAAATGACAATTCCAATTGATATGAGTGTTTACAGACAAGCAGATAGACATGGAAATCAAGATTGTAACATATCCAAAACGTGGTTTATTTTTACCTTGTTTCAATTTATCCTTCAGGAATTGTGGAATGAAAGGAGGGAACGGTGGGATCATCCGTTGATTCTGATTTTTTGGATTGAAATCTTTAAGAAAAGATTGATGTTTTATTAAAAAGTCATTCATGCCTTCGTTTAATATCTTTTAAATTAAATGAAAAGATATTCTTAAGCATCTTCAAACAGGTTATACTTCATGGCTCGATCGAAGTGCGATTTGTCGAAGTTCTTGATCGCTCAAAGATAGTCTCTGGTCCCAATTTCCCCCCAAATATAATCAAGCAAATTTTTCTCCTCCTTTCTCGAACTCTCAATCTCTTGAAACCCTTGATCCTTGGAATTCAAAATGCAGTTTCGCTATTCATACTCTATTGTAATTCACCCTGAAAAGCTAGAAGTAGTTATGAGTACACAAGCCATACGTGATTAACACCTTTACCTGGACATTTAAATGGCTCCAGGTGTTAAATGCATGACCATGAAACGTCATTCAGATGTCATTCGTATTGCAGTGATAATTGATCATAGTGCTGCCTGTCTTTTCTTACAAAAAATGATATCGACTGACTTACGCTGATTTGGAGACGCAGTGAAAAGTAGAAATTGGTTATGAGTCAAGACACTAATTTAGAGTCAGTATCAAATGATGAATAATAGAAATGCAGAAATTATGCATAACAGCATCAATGTAAGTACGTCCATTGCAGCACAATTAGTTAGACATCCACAGCTATGTTCGATGTAAAATATTAGTCAATGCTATAATTCAAAAATCGTTTTCATGTAATAAATGCATGATATCATGTGTGTCTTACATGGTATGAATCAATATATTGGTTACAATATTTGATGTTTAACATATTCACTACATAAAACTTTTATATGAATTATAGATCAAGTTTTATGTATTCTGTAATAAGCATGATCCTAAACACTCTACGTAAGTATACATTTGCTTACCTTTAGTGAAGCGGAACAAAATATCCATCTCTGCCATTGCAATATCTGTTTGTGTGCCCTTGTCATTTACAGGTGTGATACAGATTTCTTTTTCGTCGGTTAAATATTCCTTGGACTTCCCGGCGTCCAAGACAGAACGCTGCATGTTGGGGTAATCAGAAGAGGTACTGGAAATTGTGTGGTCTTGACCTACTTCCTTGTTCAATGCCACTTCTGATAGTGATGACTTACGTGAGGACGATGAATTTGATGAAACTCTCATGCTTGGTGTTTTCCTTTTACTTGGATAATTGATCAACTGTTTTACTTTTGATCCCTTCTTGATATTAAGAGTTCTTTTTCTACCCAATTCTTAGAAAAACAGGAAGAAATGTAACAATAACAATGAAATTTGTTTAACCTTCCATGTACTAAGCACAGATTATGTGTTGAAATAGAAAGCTCGTTGGATTGCACAGTGTAAGACATGGAAAAAGCGATGTTGAATTGAAAATGATAACATAACTTTAGAATTTTTTTTAAATGTAGTATGCTGGAATTCTTTTGAGCAAATTTTCAGAAAATAAAGCAAATTGAAGGCATCTAGAATAATAATGGCAAACCAATTTTGAATGTTAGGTTCCAAATAAAAATCATTTCCCTATTACTTTTAGGCACAAGCAAGATCTTTACTGCTATTTTTGGTTTGTCATCCGTCTCGAGAAATTCAACTAAGAAGTGAAATTGCACTCACGTGAAAAAAAAAATTGAGCCCGAACTTAACAGATAGTGCTGTCATACTTTTTAAACTATTTTGTGGTTAACCCCATCGAATTCAATCCTCAAAAGCGAGAGATTTTTGCAAATTCGAACAATAAAGCATTATTTTTTTCCCATATTTAACTTATTTTCTGTAAATATCTTTATGCCCCCGTATCGAACATTCGGGGTTATATAGTTTTTGTCCTGTGTATTTTTTCACATTTGTATTCCTTGTGACAAGACTTTTCTTTGGGTACCATGATACTTGACCTTTTGACCTTGACCTCGGAGTTTAACCAAGTTATGCAAAATTTTACCGGACTTTAACCATAGCTATAACTTTTGAATGGCTGGTGCTAGGGCTTTCCTACTTCACATGTGTAATTCTTGTGACAAGACCTTTCTTTCAACACCAACAACTTTGACCCCCTGATCTTCGTCTTTGATTTTGACCTATTTTATGATAAACTTTTACCTTGGTTACAATTTTTGAGCGGTTGGAGCTAATGCTTCCATCCTTCACAAATGTAATCCCTGTGACAAGACCTTCCTTTGGATTTCAATAACTTTGACTCTCTGACCTTGACCTTGGAGTTTGACCTACTTTTGAAAAACTTTGACCTTGGCCATAACTTTTGAACAGTTGATGCAAGAGCTTTCATACATCACATATGTCATCCTTGTAACAAGACCTTCCTTTGTTCCTTTGGATACCAATAGCTTTGATCCTTTGACCTTTGACTTTAACCTACTTTTGGAAAACTTTAACCTTGGCCATAACTTTTGAACGGTTGGAGCTAGGGCTTTCATACTTCACATATATATTTCATGTGGCAAGACCTTCCTTTCAATACCAACAATTTGGTTTCTTTTACCTTGATTTTAGAGTTTGACCTACTTTTGAAAACTTTAACCTGGGCCATAAGTTTTGAACGGTTGGAGCTAGGACTTTCATACTTCACATATGTCATCCTCTTGTCAAGACCTTCTTTTCAATACCTACAACTGTGACCCTCTTACCTTGACCTTGGATTTCGACCTACTTTTGGAAAACTTTAACCTTGGACATAACTTCTGAACAGTATATGCTAGGGTTTTCCTATTTAACATGTCTATTCCTTGTGACAATCGTAATCCATTGACCTTGACCTTAGAGTCCGGCAAGATAAAGAACTCCCATTGTTCAATGGCCCTGAGTGCCGAGTACAAGTCTGAACTTGAAGCTCTTCACGGGTATATGCTGATGTCTCAATATGAGTGTAAAAATGGAACGGAGCATAAAAAAAACATATAAATCAATCATTTGATAAAACAGCCATAGAGATGTACTGCCATCGACTGCAGAGGTTATTTCTGTACGTATAGATACAAACACCACTAAAAGTTATGACCCAACTGCTATAAAATCTTTTAAAATCCAAAATATTCAACAAATTTTAAATATTAATAACTCAATCTATATGACCTTTGCCCATAAACTTCAGTCAGAAACATGCAATACTTTAAAAAAAATATTTAAAAACACAAACACGGCCTCGTCTATCACCGCACGGCAAGCATGTACCGACGTCGTCATGAAGTTGCTCTTTGACACGCATTTTGAATCTGATGATACTTAAGATTTACGCAAAAAGGAATTAAGTTAGAAATAGTACTTAGAAAAAGTTCAAATCACGGCTCAATGGCCCTGAGTGGCAAGTATAGTTCAAAGTTTCCAGCTATCCATCGGCAAGTGCATGGTGGCGTCTCCATATGAGTGGAAAATTCTCGAGAGGGACGTAAAACAATACACAACACACAAACAAAACAAGACGGTTTGTAGCTAAATGGCAGGAAAGATTATTCAAAAAGTAGCACATGAGATGCGGATGAACTGACAATGAGGACGTACAATAACATCCTAACGACATCGGTAACATTCTTGTCGTGCAGTGTAAGATAACATTTGATTATTAAAGATTTTATAGAAAATTGTGACATTTCGTTTGGATCAACCATCGTTATTGGTACTTTGAATTCCAAGAATTGGTTGAAAGCCAGTTTATTAAAGAGGTATGGCACAACACAAAAGTAATAAAGACGCAAAATGTAAAACATAGAGACTATAACATTCTGCGTTGTGACATTTTGCGTCGAGGCCAACACAAAATGTAATAATGCAAATTATGATAACACACTTTTGGAATTATTAAATTTGGCGCTATAACATTTTGCGTCGAGGTCAACGCAGAATTTTATAACACTCAATGTAAAAAGACTCTTTTTGGGTTTAATTTATTTTGCCTGATTGTAAATACATGTATGTTGCGCCAAAGATAACGAAGAATGTAATATCGCAGAAAGAACTTATCGCTTATGATCTCTGCAAATAATTGTATTTTTGATAGAAAGTGGGAATAAGTTTATTGCAATGCATTATGTTTTCTTCATACAATTTCGGTATTCTTATGTACAATTTCCTGTTAGTATACGTATTACATTGATCCTTAAGCAGATTTTCTAAAAAGAAAATGTTATAATCCTTTTAGTTTTAATCCCAAAAATGATGACCATATTTTTGAACTTTTTGAAGTTTTCTTGCTTCATTCATTGCACAGGTTGTAATGACGCAAATTGTAATATTCAAAAAAAAAAGTTAATTACAATTTCCATAATTACATTTTACGTCGAGATCAACACAAAATGTAACAACGAAAAATGTAATAACCAACAACATCAGTTTATTACATTTTGCTTCGTTATTACAACAGACATAATCCACTGTACTTACATGAAATCACCGAGGGAAAATCTCTATACCAGTACTTTTGATGGATTGGCTGGCGTATATTTACAGATACAAAAAAAGGAAATATGAACACAAAAATTATTATTTCATTCTGGATTAAACAATTGAATTTTTTTTTTTACAGAAAGATAAGGATTTGTTTTCCATTTTTCACGCTGGCATATTAACATAATAGAAATATGAAACAAAATATAGGGAAAAAAACCCTTTTTATCAAAATGATGACATTTATTTCATTAAATAATTACACCTACTTTATATCCTGGCTTATTGTATTTCCGACCTATCTAGATGTTATTTATTTATTTGTTGCAAACAGTGTGTGTCTATTAATAAAATAATATAACCCCAATTGCAGTTTTGTGTTTATTTATATGCCATAATATTATGAGGGTGTGGTTCTCCTTGCAAAAGTATTAGCGTTTCGTGTTTTCGACCTAAATAAGGCTTGGACACCTAGTCAGTATTGGCTGTAAATATTTGTATGATATTCAAAACAATGAAAATACGATCATTTGTTTTTCATAAAAACATTAAACAAGTTGCATATTTTGGTTGCAGACAATTTTATTTGTTGGTTGTACTCTCCCGTCAGTAGCGATGCATTTCCAAAAAAAACTTCAATGAAATTACGTTGCATTCTTTAATGAAAATCTGTAAGAAAATGCCCATATCCAAGGAAGAAAAAATTAGTTTGATCCACCCATTCATTTTAATATTCATGCATCTTTGTGACAGAGATCTTAAATTTCTTACGAAAAAATATCATGAAAAAATCTTTGTAATTAAGCGATTACGACTTTGATTAATCAACAGCTAAAATATGCATTAGTAAAAAAGATTAGAATTTCTGACAGCGGACTAAAATCATGGGGGGAAATCCATTGAATTAATTTATTTTAGTTAAATTCGCTACAATTATACTTGAAATGTATTTTTCCAAGTCTAGCAGCCGAAAATAATGTTGTGTAGCGCGGTATCTGCACAGGAAGCAGATTTGGAAAAATAAGTCGAAAATACAATACAATTAAAAACGGGATACGAGACTATATAAAATCGTATACTTACTTTTCTTACGTCAATATTCAATTTTCTATCTCAAGAAGCCTCCGTAGGTTGCTCAATAAACTGATGGTATTATCTATCCTTATATATATATATATATATTAGTATTTAATGTGCAATCCAATCAGCGTTTTCTTTAAGAAAATGGCGTATATAACTTCACTGATTGGGTTAAAGAGTTAACCACGCAAAAACGATGAAGCTACACAAAAGGAGACGGAATTCTTTTATGCAGATAATGGTTACATAGATATCAAACAAAGTTAAGTATGCATGCCAGCACTCTTAAAGTTTAGAAATATCTACTTAGAAAGATTTAATACCAAACCATATTACTGCAAGCAGATGAAAAGTATTTGTTTTTTTATCACGAAATTTGTTGAGTATCTTGAACGTTTATCATGATAATTTCAAAATAAAAAAAAACCTACACAATGAATGCAGCACTAAATCAAAAACAAAATTAAGAAGTGTGTTATTATTCAGTTTAAAGGGAAGTTTTAAACCCCAAAAATATAATACCCTTGAGCGGGGGAGGGGATATTTTCCATGCATTTGGGAATGTTTGCTTTCCTTTTTATTTAGTTAATTTGAAAAATATATATATATATACGCCTGATGCGACTTTAATTTGATAAAATTGAGAATAAAATAAATCTCACTTTCCATTTTTACGTATGAATATACAATATATCATCATCACCTGCAAAATATATTATAACTTTTTCCCTATATCCGAAATTGATACAAAGAGTCACAATATTCGCAACTCATAACATTAGAATGATATCATTTGAACCCGATTTTACGCATTTTATCGTAAGCTATTTTTTAATTATGACATACAATTCTGTTTATGTATATCTGACATTCTTGAAAAATATATTAAACGTTTTCTTTGATTTTATTAAAGTCTACTTAATGCAATTAATGCAATTATTCGAATGACTGACAGACTGCTGTTTTCCCAGATACTCCCAAATGGCTTTAAAATCAAACATGTGCTCTGCTCTTAGGGTTAATCTTTATCGAGCCTGCGCCTGGCGTGACATAGGGCCTCTTTTTTTAAGATCTCATCAAGAAGACCTGACACTTTCACTTAAAAATTCAGAGCGCTTGGTGAAGGAACAATTGCTTATAAACTTTCATGGTCTTAGATTTGTCGCGGCCGGGGCTTGACTCGCTACCTTCCGATCACAGATAGAGGAGTCCACCAATTGAGCAACTATGGGTTACAAAATACCATAATATAATGTTAGCCTAGTTGTTAGTTAGCCAAATTGTGAAAAAAAGCTACAAAAGTCGTTCAAACACATCCTATGGGAACTATAGTGAATGGTGTTAAGAAGTATCTTGAGTAAATTTACTTAAATAGTGCAATGACTAACAGTTTGCATAAAGAACTGATTTTTTCCCCCATGAAAATGAAACTATGATTTGTCTTGATTATTAATAAACACTTTTTTTTAAAAAATAAAACAGGCTTTTTTTTCTTCAAATATGTATCCCTGCTGATTTTTTTTTTTTTTTTTTTTTTTTTTTTTTTTTTTTTTTTTTTTTGAGGAGTTATTTTTCTTTAACTTTTATTTTAAATCGTTTCCCCATTATGTACTTGATAACTCTTTCTTTTATTAAAGGTGTATTAAGTACAGTACAAAGTTAATGGTATTTATTGTACATGATTTTCCAGACAAATGTCAAAACGTATTCTAAAATAAAGATGAAATAATTATCACTTAGCAGTTACCAACGCAGTTTCTGTGGTTCATCAAGTATATTCTCATAACAACATCCTCATAATTAACTTTCAAAGGCTAATCCCCTGTTAGTACTCAATAACCTGTGCGCCTCCTAGATGAAACATGGAGATAACAAACAGTTATCAAGCTCTCAAAAATCCATAGAAGCAATACAAATAGGGAGCAGAGCAAACACGGAAAAACATCAGAGGTGGAATCAGATGTCATGGAGGAGTAAGCATCCCCTGTTGACTCATTGTGTGCTCATTGTCATGATCGGGCAAACGGAAAAAAATCATAGACAATTCAGTGTTTTTAAGGTGTTTTGATAGAATCATTTTTAAGGTAAAATGTCTGCTTTAAATTGCCCTCAATTTTGAGAATTATGCCTTTGAAACATATATGTTTTATTGTACATTGTTAATTTATTTGATGACTAACTTTGTTAAGGGATTATTTATAATTGTCTGATTAAAGCTTTTTTTTTTGTTCTTTTTTTTTTTTTTTTTTACATATGTATAACGTCACTAAGTACAAAAGAAAAGAAGCTCAGATATTGACATTTTTCTTCCAGATAGCTACTCTTTTTTCTTGAAAAAGAATTATTATTCTAGTAGCAGTTTCAAACAGAATGAAACATAGATAACGAGTGTGGTTAAAATAAATCCTGTGAACAATGCAAAATGTGAAAGGGCAAAAACGTATCATTGAAAACATCGGAAGTTAGGTCAGGTTCCAAGTAGTAGTAAACATCAGAACAATAAACTATAGAATGGACAACACAGACAAAAGGGTTAAGTTACAATCATGTTTTATTCTTCCTTGGAAGACGTTCTACAGAGTTGAGTTACTTTAAAGTCTTCGGACAATGCACATTATATTTCTTTCTTTTGTGATTGGTAGAAAATGTATGATGTGAAAATTTTCAATTATTTCATAGCTTGAAATGCTGTTCATGCCAAGAGAGATGAAAGAAGAGATGAGTTTCTTGTGATCTAATTTTTGAACGACTTAATCACTTTTCATGATTCTCTTTTTTAGAAAATTCGACAAAACGAGCTTGCAATAAATGAAACTGACACCAATTATTTATAGCAATTATTAAAATGTGCTTTTTTCATAGTACGGAGGCGTAAGTATCCCCGTCAACTGATCACAACCGCAGTGTGTTCCTTGTCCTGTTCGGGCAAACGGAAAATCTATAAACAATTCCAAGAGAAAAAATTTTCTAACATTTTGTATGAAAAACGTCAGTCAATATTCGACATAATGAAAGATTGTATTTGTTGGCAAAGTCGTTGTATCGACCGTAGAATTTGCGAAATGTGGAATTTAAACGAGGCTGTTGATATCTTTGTTCCATCAACGTATTTGTCAATAGCTTCTCTCGTTTCAGATTTTTTTTTATATTGAGTACCGAATCAACTGGGAGACGTTAACTCCATATGGAGGTGGTAATTTTATATTCCTACAATGGGAAGTTGACGTTAGAAAAGTTCAAGTCATCACGATTTTCATAGAGTTTTGTTGCTAGATATTCATTTACGTCTTTTTTCAATATATATATATATATATATATATATATATATATATATATATATATATATATATATATATATATATATATATATATATATATATATATATATATATATATATATCTCTTAAACTGACACAGATGTGCCAGACTCTGTGGTATCTTTTATTTCGAGTTCAAAATGGTAATTCGATTCAACGTATTTTGTGTGTTACCCAGCACAAACGATTGTAATAAAACGTAAATACATGTAAACTTTAAAGAAAAAAAATGAACAAGCAGTTTAATTGTAATTTGATTGTAGGTGAAAGTTTACAAAGAGCAAAGACTTAATTGAAATTCCTTCGTAAAATTTATCTGAAAAATCTAGAGAAAATAATTCACATCAAAAAGTCTGCTGAAATCAAAGAAACAATTGCGAAAGTAAAATTTTAGACCATTAAGCCGCCTTTTATAAGATATATGCTTTAGGAAAAACCTTTCATCTCTGTACCCTTATCATTAGACAAAAAATATTTGCAAAACGTATCACGTTCCTCATGTAAGTAGGTGAGTAATTGTTAATTTAAGTGTCACATCTCATACATTACAAAATGAATGAATATAATAATATTTACAGACTCTAAAACGTACTGCTATTTATATATATATATATATATATATATATATATATATATATATATATATATATATATATATATA